AAGAAGAAAGATGTCGGTACTGAGTGGGCTTCTTTGTCGTAGGCCTCTAGAAATAAAACGTAAATAAATTTGTATCACATTTGTTTAAAACAGAGGTTACTGTTGTTGTTGATGACGATTTCTTAGCACAAAACTACGAAGTGGGCTACCTCCACTTTATTCACCAAAAAAGAGGATTTATACAGAGTCGAAATCATGGTTCTGAACTATATTTACAAGCAATTACAATAAATATAAATGAACACCTTTGTATTTGTTAAGAATAAGGTTACGTTATTTATTAACAGGACATAATTTATTTTTCGTCTATAAATGTCGTCTTCTCTTCCGAGATGAGATTTTAAATGCTCCCTCAAACGAGTAGAATGTTGTCTCAGCTTTTGCAATCTGTACATTCAATTACACACACATTGCCTGAGTATCTCTATCCACATACTTTTTGAATAGCAGTTGACATAGTTTTCTTCCAGGTAAAAATGTAAATTACACTTTAATGTCAATTTTATACTCTTTGACCGTTTTTAACGAGATTTATTTGATAACATGAGAAAAGTCTGTGATGAACTGTAAAACACATGAACATGTATATATTTGGAAGATTCATTTTCTATGTCAGTTTGTGAATTATTTTAAAAGGTAGCAATTACTTTATTAACAACAGTGAGATGAAAATTGTTTTGTTCACAAAACTGAAATTTAAGGTTGTCATTTTCGTTTTTGAAACACTCGATGCTGGAATTTATGATTTTATTTGTACAAATAGCACTTTTAATATACCTATCTTGGTCATGAAGGGAATTCTAAGGAACATAAAGTATGGTATGAGTGTTCTTACAAATACTGAAGTTTGGAAGCCTGTGTTTGTCTTTTTTAATAAGAACATTTAGAAATGACAATTTGTCATCAACTTCTTTTTCCATCGTGAATTTTATGTTTGTGTGTATCTGGTTTACATGAGAGAAAAACTCGTGAGTAATATTAATGTTATCGAAGGCTGAAGGAATGTCATCAACATATCGAAACAACAGGCCTTCAGTTTGGATTTAATAAACATATTCAAACTGGAAAGTGGAAGATTTAGCGGCAAAGAGAAAGTTCTCTTATGGTGTTGATGTTTAAGCGAAATTGAGAATTAGTACCATTTTGGTAAAATTCCAGGGCAGCATTTATTGCTTGAAGGATGGGGAATTGAGTGGACAGATTTTTTATTTTTTTTACATCAAATGTGACTAATTAAACAAAATAACTAAATTCTCGGAGTGTCTTGATAACCATTTAGATTTTTTTTTTATGAAGGAGGAAGCACCAGAAACATATTTAGAAAACATCCAAGCAAGGAATTTTCCTGGGTTGTAATCATAAACTTTGTCGAAACAACAGGGCGTAAGGGGAAATCAGATTTGTGAGTTTTTGGGGGACCATAAATTTGAGAAGTACGCGAATCTGAGGGACGAAGAAATTGATATATGACATTAGAAGGTTGAGAAGTTTTCAAACTGTAAAGGAAATTGTTTTAATTCCTTTTCTCTGGTAGGAGTTATGTTAGTTTCTATTTCTTGGACATGGGATGAATCATCAAGGAGTGTGTACATCTTTTGCTGGTATACTATCCGATCCGTGATAACAACATTAAATTTGTTTGATTCCAGTAAAACTATACTTTCATAATTTTTTAAAGAGTTTTAGTGCTTTATGTTATTTTGGAGAAAGGTTTGAGTTTAGAAGTCTAGGTTTGTCTAGAAAATGCAAAATTCGTAAACGAAAGGCATGAAAAACAGGTAAAATTTGACTATTTTCTGGAATTGAAGGAAAAGACAGAACAGGTAACTGTAAGTTTCGGGTGAGCGTTCTTTGATTATTTAACGAAAGATCTTGATTATTTGTACTTTCTTGAATGATCTCACAAGAACTTGTAACATAGATAGGTTTTTGAATTTGAAGAGACACGAGAAGAAGTGGGTTTATTTGATGAACTATAACGTTCTCGAATAACTATTTTTTAAGCTAAGTCTTCTATTCCTGGCTCAAATTCAATTTTGGGTGCAAAAGCATAATTGAAACCTTTTTCTAAGAATTGAATTTCATTACTGTATTACTGGTGGGAGGAAAGGCTAAAAACGACTTCTTTACAATGTATTGGAAGAGAAGTAGGCCTATTCATTTGAATATATGGATTTTTGTTTTTGTGTGTCTTTTTTAGTCTTTCATATTCTTTAGAATGCCCGTCAGTTATTATTTTCTCTTTTTAGTCAAAATACTTTTGATGCTCATGATGCTAGGTGAACCTGGTGAAACGTTGTGAACAAAATAAACAATAGTTTTATTATGTACAACCGATAAAAAACTTGTGTGAAATTTAAATAACATAATTGTTTCTCATTTTTATGGTAGTTTTTTTTATAGAAAGAAAAATGTAGACTTATTTTGTTCATGAAATATATATTTCCAGAATGGAACACCAGTTCTGACTCTGTATTGACTACATTCAAAAACCACACTTTTTAAGATAATTTTACTGAGAAAACTAAATAGCATTATCTCACTGATGGGCCAGCATGGCCAGGTGGTTAGGGCGCTCGACTCGCAATTTGCGGGTCGCGGGTTCGAATCCCCGTCACACCAAACATGCTCGCCCTTTCAGCCGTGAGGGCATTATAATGTGACGGTCAATTCCACTATTCGTTGGTAAAAGGATAGCCCAAGAGTTGGTGGTACGTGGTGCTGACTAGCTGCCTTCTCTCTAGTCTTACACTGCTAAATTAGGGACGGCTAG